CTGCCCGCCGCCGCCGCCGCTCTTGCTCGCGCCGGCGCTGCACGGGAGCCTGCCCGCCGCCGCCTGCTTTGTGCTTCCCCCCGAAGATGGGAGCGACCTCTTGCTGATCGGGAGCTATTTAAAAGGAGGGAGTGCGCGGCATTTCCTACTAGCGTGGAGGAACGGGGGAAGGATCCATCCACGCTCCCCAAACCAGGTAGGATCTTACGATGGGCAAGCAAAAGGGATTTGATCAGATACCGCCAACTATTTTCCATTTGTTGTTCATAAGGCTACACTTTCCTCCGCTCTGGCAAAGGACTGGTTCCTAAATTGTATGTGTTTGTGTGTGTGTCCCTACACATGTTCTGGGGGGGTCTGCGCTTCTCGGGGAGTGAAATTGCTCGGGCTGGTGCGTCTGGGCGTGAGCGTGCCTGCCTGCCTGCCAGTGCCGGCTGCCGGGGGAAGAAAGGGCTGCTAAGGAGACATGCTGCACCCTGCACCGCGCTGAGCTCTGAGGATTCAGGGCGCGAAGAGCTAAGTCCACCTGGATTGCAGCGCTGCTGGGGATCCAGGCGTCCCCACCCACTGGACTCTGCTCCTCGGTCATCCCTCCTCCTGGTAATCCCTGGGGTCTCCCCCAAGGCCGCACTTGCGAGTCCCCTCTTTTCTGGCGAGCTCTGGGTGCTCCTTCACCAAGGACTGCGGAAAGGAGGGAGGTGTGGCCGGGGCAGGGGGGACAGGCAAGGGAGAAATGCAGCGGGAGAGAGGGCAGAAAGGTCCCCGTCTCGGGTGCTGTGCTGGGTTGTGCGCTGGGGATTCTGCGCGCACAGGCATCTTCCCCAAGAGATTCGAAGGGAACTTTGCAGCTGCATTTTCTGCCTCTGGAGCTTTTCTGGCTCTTGGGAAAATGGTCTGTGTTCTGAGATGTGAGGATATCCTTCTTGGCTCCTCCTTAATAAAGAAGAGGGAGGTCTTATGGGTGGACAGTCGGCTAAAGAAACCAAACCCACCCAGGCGATGCTTTTAAAAATACATGTGTGCATCCTTGATTTTTAAAATCCCCCTTCCCCCATGGATTCTGTTGACTGTTTGATGAATGGCTTGGGCTTACAATTCGTATTTCCCTCTCCAGACGAAGTGGCAGTGGTTGGGTTAAGAGCAGAGTGACCAAATTTAACAAAGAATTTTTCGAAGAGAGCAGTGTGCATGGTGTCCGCAGTCACTGGAAAGAAAGTCCTGCTTTGCACTAGGTATCTGTTTAACCCCCCTTAGCCTGGCTCCCTGGCTGGCGCTCTCCATCTCTCTCCTGCTAGTTAGCCACTAGTGGTTGTGAATATAACAATACAAACTTTGTCCTGCTGGAGGTGTAAAGACTAAAAAGAGAAAAAAAGGATATCAGTAGGAGGTGTAGTGGAAGAAGCTTTTTAAAAAATGACAGATGTGGTAAAGACAGTACAGGCATCCCGATCATGGAGGAGCTAGCGGAGTAGGTGGGAATTCTGAACAGATCTGGTTAAAGGCATAGCTTGAGTATTTCCAAATATGAGCAACTGAAGACTCACAATCCAGCATCCATGTGAAGATTTCCTAAGGGAAGTGGGGAGCGACGGGGAGGGGATTCGGAAAGTATACCTCCCACCCACGCCCCCAACACACACATACACACCCACGTTTTCTCAATCTCTCTCAAAGCTACTCCTGCAGCAAGTGAGGAAAGGAGGAAGATGTATCTATATGTTTCCTTCATTTCAGATAAGAAAACAGCTGGAATAGGGATGATTGCTTTTAAGTTCCTCTTTCAAATCCTGTGTTACTTGGATTTAGCTCTATGGGTTTGCTAAACTTGCTTAATTGGGAAGGTTAGGCGGATGTAAAAGAAGGAGGAAGGAAGAGAGAGCTCCATCTTGGGGGCCTTGTGAGTGAGAAGGTGGGGGAAGACCCACTTATTTCATCAAGAAGCAAGATGTATTGTCTTAAATGGTTTTCATTTTACAAATTCTGCCTGCTTGGAGGATTCCATTGGAATGTAAGGGCTCTTTAGCTACGATTTCTCCCATCTACTGTAAAAGGAGCCTTGTTTTTTTTTTTTCCCCCTAAAATGGCTGTTGTCTTTTATTAAATACGGAATGATTACTTCCTAGGGGAAAAAAAAGAACTGGACAGAGGTAAACCATTATTCACTGTTGAGCTGTGCAGGGGTTGCAAAGGATATAAGGGTCCATGACAATCAGACTACATTTACTCTGTCATGACAGCTTAACAGGGCTGGAAGAAGAGAGTAACAAATTAAAAGAATATGAAGGCTGTGCTTTACATCTGTCTATCTGTCTGTCTATCTACCTGCTCACCTACCTACCTATCTATCCATCTTTCTATTTACTTTACCATTATTGTTTAATGGTTTCTACTGTATCATTTTGGATTAAGATTAAGAACTAGATAACCCTTTTGTTGACCATGAAGGCGAAGAAACATGCATAGCAGTAGCAGTGCTTTAACTCCAGATAAAATTACAAAAGGAAGGTGAAGTATAGTCAGTAACACCTACAGGACTATTTGCAGGAATTACATTCATTGGTCTTTCAAGCTTACTATGTTTTGAAAAAAAATTCCAAGAGAGCTTCAGAATTTTGTTAGCAAGCATATTTAACATGTTTTTATCAGACAGAATTAGACTTTTATTTATCTTGCAGAGTCAACACATGGTTCCTTCCCTCTAAGTGCTTAATCTGTTTCTTTGACAAAATAAATGATGAGATAAGCTCTGCAGATCCAATAAAGTTGCATTCCCTCTTTAAAGCAAGTTAAAGCATTCATTTAGCTCATGAGTGTGAGTCTCCCAAAGTAAGTGCATTTTAGGACTTTACCATCTGATTTTCATGTTGCAGTTCAGTGAGAGGAGCCCTTTCTCCATGATGCTTTCAGGTAGAGGGAGAATAGCGTGCAGGTAAAAGCAAGCAGTCTGCCCCATCAGTGTGGAAATAAACAGAATTCAAACTGAAATAGAAATTACATCTGGAAAAAGAAATACACAATTGAAAGAGAATGGCAGAGCACATAGTCTTGCATGTTTTATATTTTTGCAGTGTGTATCTATGTTGCTTTTAACTAAAAATTAAATTGTGGCTTTACATTTGCTAAGAACTGAAGAATCAATGTGCCGCCATCTCTCTCTTCTTCCTGATCCTTTCATCCTTTTTTTTTTTTTCTTTAAGGGATAAATGTCTCTTGCCAAAACATCTTCCAATGTTTTGTTAGACCGCTTATCATAACCTCTATGGAATAGTCTCCCATCTGACCAAATTCTACTGCTCCCTCTTGTGGCAAATATTCTCCCTGGCTTTCCCTAGATTCCCGAATCGCATCTAACATCGCTTAGAACTCCCTTGGCTGCCCATCACTCAGTTCTAATTCTCAGTAGTAATTGTGGCTAACCAAGCCAGTGGGTTGCTGAAGTAGCCATTTCCAATTTTCTCTCTGAACAAAGGGATGTCCATCCCCTGGAGACATACTTGAAATTTAGTGGAAGTAAATGTCAGGTATTTTCCAACCCACTGGGATGGACTAGATTCTGGGAATGTGAGCTTTCAGAGTCTGCCTCTGAGATTTTGGTTTGGACTCAGGGCTAGTCCGGTGGGGCCTCATTAAGTGCAGTGGGATGATTTTCAGTTTTCTCTCTTTCTCCTCCAAAAGATACTTCTCTGTGTGTGTCTGTGTCTGTCCGTCTCTCTCTCTCTCTCTTCTTGCCTCCCTCCCTCTTTGGCCTCTCATGCACACACACACACACACACACACACACGTCACAAAATATATTTTACACAACACATTTTGAAGAATTAGACTAATCAACGGTTAGGCTCTCAGTGGGGTTTGTAAATCAAACAGCACATTTTCTGAGCTGGAGACTCCTAGGATAAACTACTCTTACTGGTATGTTTTCATCAAGAGCAGTTCAGAACACGAATGAGGAGATCCGGCGCCGTTTTCCAGTGTGTTGACTCAACTTGGAAGATAGTTGCTCGCAGCTCTCGCTGCCTCAAGTGTTTTTGTAGGCTCTTTGCTGACAACGGGGTACTGAACCTTAAGTGTTTTATATCTACATTTGTGATTGTCCTTTGAGGTGCACAGCCAGGAGAGTGTAGTAAGAAGATAGGCAGAGGTTAAGAGAATCACATTTTCTCTTTACCTGAAACCTTCTAGCCAATTTCAGAAGAAGGAAGAGAACATGTGGAAGGATAAAAGTCCTGCCTGGCAGCTGACATGAAGGGAACATGTTTGTGGTCAGGGGCAAGGACATTATAGGTAGCAGTCTATAAAGTGATTTGAGGAGGGCCAAACATCCCCGAGTTCAAAGCATTTATCCATCGGCCAACATAGGATCTGAAATTCTCACTATTAGAGACATTCATTTGAATAAAAGAATTCTATTTTATAGATCCCTCATAAAATGCAATGATATTACCTAGGAAGGAGCTACTGTTAATTCTCAGAAACCATTAGCGTCCGTTCATTTTTGAACCTGGACTGGTTTATCAGATGAGCTAGCAGATAGAAAAGTCCTGAAGGCCTGGAATACAGGAAGATGCAGAGGAAGTGAGAGAAGTTTGAAACTGGGTTGCTGCCCAGTTAATGCCCTCCGAGGGCCCTGCTGGTGGGGCAGTGGGAGGGACCTGAGTGCCAGAGAGCAGGGCTGCTGATGGCAGGAGTAGAAAGTAGCCAGAAAGAGACCAAGATAACCTTCCACCTGACACTGACACTTCTGGAGCAGCAAAGGTAATAAAAATTTGTTCCTTTCTTTAAAACCTACTCTTTTTAAGTCTCTTTAAGCAAAATGTTTTCCAGCAAGTGTGATACCGATTCAGATAAATGGTTTCTTGCATATGTAATAAACATAGAAAAATAAATGTTAATATGAGAGTCCATCTTAATATTTTTTAAAAAGACAGAAAAAGTAATCACTTTGTAGATGTCCTTGCATGTTAATTTCCTGGTTGAATCTAATGTGAGATGAAGTCAAACAGACAAGGGGGTGATTCAGCAATTTGCTTCAACTCAGCCGTGACATTTATTGAGCACTCAGTGTGTGCAAGGCAGCGCGTGGCACTTTTCAGAGAATGCAGATGATGAAGAGGAGTTATTTGACATTTGTTGAGCGCACATTATGTTCCTGGGACCAGACTAAGCACTTAGTACATGTTTTCTTGTTTAATGCTC